GGCCCTGCTTAATCGGAATGCTTAAATGAAGCCTACCTATTAAAGGAAGAAAAGTGTTTGCTTTTCATTAAATAGTGATGGATAGTATAAGATTAGCGTCTTCGAAAAAATGGGAAAAAGCTTATGAACAATGCACACTTTGGGTTTTTTTAATGGGAATTCTGATGTAAAGTATTGTTATTTATGTTATGTTTGTGCATTTTTAAGGTGAATAAGTGATTTAACCCTGTCACCAAAAGTATACCCAAATAAAATTGTCTTATCTTTTTGCCACAGAATGATTTACCAAGTTTTGCTTAACGCTAATGCGAAATAGAGTAGGGAGGGTGGGAGAGAGCGCAGGACAGGGAGACGGGGCCTACATTTCTATATCAAGGCCATTCACCACTTTACGAACCTGCTAATAACGCAATACACAACTTTTGCCACTGCCACGTGATCTACATTCAGCCTTGTCAGTGAATCGCCTCTCTACTGGCTGGTGTCATGTGATGGTACGAAGAGGTAAAGCCACGAAGTAGGAGGGTAAGCAACTGTGTCCATCTTATTGATGTCGTATGCTAATTGTTAACGCCTTACTTCACCTTAATAGTTTGTCAGGAAGTTAACACATCGGACATACACGAGCAGTCACGTAAGACATCGGTTTCCTACGTAACATATGCGTGACGGGTGAACTTCATCAGTTTATGATGCATGTGAATTCGACACTGATCATTGCCTCCACAGATTATTTGCCTGTATGAGAAAAAGAGATACAGATCGTCATATGAGCTCTAATGGTCAACTTTTCGGTGACATTTGTCCTCACATGAAGGCGTGATTCGGCATCGTTTGCTCGGCTGCATTTAAAATCAGAGGGGTACTCCCAAGAGCTTAAAATTTCCTGGCGATATTGAACAAGTTTGACGTCAGGACCTTCGGGGAAGATCAGCCTTCTCAGTGGACAAAATGGCTTTCTTAGCCAAGGATCTAGGGAGTATTCATGAATTCCAAACGCGGTTACTTAATCAGTCTTATCATGTGGCACTCCGCTTTTGGTAAACTGCGTTGTATCTCCGTGCTTCAAACTGGATGATAGCACGTGTCACATTTGTGAAGCAGGAAATCGAGTTAATGGACATCAGAGACTATCCCGAGGGGTCACCTACAACAGATTTTATATATTCTCCACTCCACAGGTTCCAGTTGCTACTTCAACTCCGCACAACTACTCCTGCTTTTCATGTAGGTCACTGGGAGGAGAAAATTTACCGCTTCACTCCTATCCCCTCCCTCACCCTCCACATTATGGATTAACACCGTTTTGACAACGAAAAATCGCATAATCCCATGAGAGGTGGCAAAGGCTGGGTTCTCTCTTTTTTTCTGATTAGACCCGTTCCCCATCACCCAAATGCAATGGCCAGTTATTTGCCACTGGAGCAGTTCTGCCTAAATAAAGTAAAAGTAATAAGTAGGGTTTTTCTAGCTGTTTTTGTTAATAAGCTTATTTTTTGATTACTCAGCCATTGAATTCAAACTGAAACCGCAAATCCACCTCATTAGCACCCCATTACCAATTTATTGCCCCTCCGGAGGCTCACAGAGGTGAACGTTGGTTTAATCTGGGGATCGCAAACGTGAGTAGCCCCATCTTGGATGGGTCCAAGTCGTTCAAGTCGAATGTACAACGCAAGATTAAGGCGATTGTTAAAGGATGACGTGACTTCTCGATAACTGCTCTCTACGGATCCTTGTAAGATAAAGTTGGCTTTTTGAATAAGGCTCGTATTCGAAGTCTTCCCTGACCTTGCATGGATGGAAAGTTGAAGGCTTTACGGCTCCAGTCTAGAATAGCTCTGACAGGTATAAGGAAGAATCGAAAAGGCAATTGATCAATCCATCCTCCTACCTTCAATCTGTGTGTGCCCAAGGGATCAAATTTCAACCAGTCACTCATAGGAAAATTCATTCAACACTCTACCCTGCATTCTCCTAAACACTGCTTTTAGTCTACCATCTTAATTAACGGGCGTCTGTCTACCAGACCTTCTCACGCCACCACAAGCCGTGGTGGTAGGACACTGTGAGCGCACACCGCTCTGATCAGCTCCGTCATAGAAGTAACACCCACTTCATAAAATTGTTCAATCTTAGAAGATGGACAACCCTCCCACTCATAAGCTTCTGTTTTTCAACTATCTGGAGATAAGGAAAAGGTGATGGAGATCATTTGAAGAAATATCTTTAAAGTATAGGAAAGATGAGGCAGTATCTGCTTTTGAGCATCTTAAAGTGCAGTGATTCTGACCGCATCTCCCAAGGAGTTTCTCCCGCCACAGGCTTCACTGTTTACCCTTCGATAGGTGGGTAAGTCGGTCTGCGCTGCACTACATCCTTTGCGACTAAAGTGATGCCTGTGAAGTTTAGGGTGAGCTGTCTGTAAAAGATGAGTAGGAGCTTGCCGATGAGGTGCTCCTTCCACATTTCTTACCCAGAGTCAGTCAGTCGGGTGTTCTAATCAAGTAAGTTCTAGCCAGGTCGTTTGCCTAGAGGAACTTCCCTAACGTGACACATCCCTCGTTCGCTACTTCTTTTTGGACCACTAATCATTGGAAAATAATAACTTACTTTAGCCATTCCTACTTATGGCGTTCTGCAACCTCACCCTCTCCAAATTTCACAAGATGCCTCTTGCCTCTTGAAGCAACCTTCCCAAGTAGAGAAGCTCGACTTGCACCCACCTGGCATAAACCAAGGGGAAGACAGCAGAGAGGGTGACCATAAAATACCGCACCAACTAGTAGGCTGACGCAAATCAGTGCATGGACCCTACAAGTCCCAACAACTTACAACCAGTGCTTGCTATGTCGGGGTAGGCAGAGAACCTCTCCAAATTCTTTTGCAGTCGCTTAGGCTACGTAGCTTTATTTTGTCTTGTAAATAGACCAAACAAAACAAAGGCAAATGAGGATTTTAAAATGATTTTTAAAAGCACTTTATCTGAAAATAACTAAAGACTTCCTAATTGACTTTAATATATTGGTGTAGTTGAAAGAGGTTAAATCTTGCCCTTCTCTCTTCTATCGCCTTCAGTTTTACACCCTAAGATTGAAGGGATTGGTTAGAGGTAGACATCCGGTATTGTGCTGGTAATGTGGTAGTCTACTAGTAACCCAACTTTTGCAGAGAGATGGGAGACCAGAGTTTGTATCTGCCTCCTCCGCCGCCTTTTGACCTCCCCAACGAGGACCGATGGCGTCCGACCAATCACGAAATTGGTTTGACTTGCCCGCATGCCACCTATAAACACTACTTTCAAACAACTCTATGGCAAGTTACATTTTGATTTATGTATAAACATTTTAGAGCAATTGTTGGTGAGGTGTTGATGTCCCTTTTTTCTCCCTCCGGGTCACGTGATTATGTGGTCACGTCACACTTCTTCCAGAGGCCCTGAAATGATTAACTGGTGACATTTTTGCTAAAGAGAGGGCAAAAAAGAAATAGTTAAACTCCCACTTACAATGCACTTCTGAGGCGCTGGAAGATTCCACTGTTTTTAACAAAATACTGCGAATATTTCAAAGACAAGTTTGGAATCTTAACCAAAAGACTTGAGACAAAATTTTCCTCTTTAGAGAGAAGGGTTTTCTCTTTCCTCGCCTGACGTGCATTATTTTAGGCTTTTTAGTTCGTGTCAACATTTGGTAGTGGCTGTCGCCTTCTTGTCTGATTCACTGGCAGAAGGATGTGACAGTGATAGCAGTGTTTCAGGGAGAAAATAGGCCACTGCACTGCACAATTGACAAGTGATCCGACTCATTAAGCGCTCCACCACTTTTTTATCCTTTTGTAGTAAAATAATTCGTAGACACGGCCCAGGTCCATTAATTTACAGTTATTGTTATCTGATGAGGTTCACCCGTCACTTATATGTGACGCTAATAACCAAAACCTTACGTTAATGCTCACTTTTGTTGCACACACAAATTGCCTATTTGCTTTACTTTCTGACTACTAGTCAAAAATATCAGGATGTTGGAAGTTGTTATTTGACATCACCAAAGTGGACACAGACTCGCCTTCTCCACATCCCCCTCCCACTTCACGCCACTACTCCCTCGTGTCGCCACATGACACGCTACAGTAGAGGTGACTTACTGACAAGGCTATAAATAGATCACGTTGTAGTGGCAACTATTATTTGCGAGTCAGTAAAGAAGATAAAAGGCCTTTAGTTGGAAGTATTAACTTTGTCTACCACCTATGGCTTCCACTCCACCCCTTCGAGCCCTTCCTCCCACACTGCCGACACATTCCCATTCGCATCGGTAATATGCAGGCCTGGTAAATCATTCTGGGTCAAGGCAAACCACCAAGGCCTGTATTCATGTGTCCGCGCAAGTCCAATTTGATGGATTGCCCATTGTGGTCACCCCTGCATCGGCTTTCCAGGGAAACTCTCAGGCTAGTGATCCCCCGGCGTGGTAACGCCACCCAGTTATTCCTCGTCTCGCAGTTGCCACGTCACTTAGACAGTTTTACTTAACATAAAATGAGTTATTAAAAATTACCTATCATTAGATGTCAGGTGTGGAATATGGACGGATCTGATCTACCTGATGTTCATGTTCCTCTTCTGGAGCCCCTCGTCTCGCCTCCTCACTTCCTACCGCCTTAATTCCAGACGAAGCTTTCCCCTAGTAGAACGCAGCTATTTTCCCCACTACCAAGCAAAAACTGCGTTCAAATTTTGGCTAAAAAGCAGTGTCTTCGTGACAAATATTTCTAAACTTACTCAAAACGAGTGGTACAAGAGAAAAAAGGTTGAAATCTGTTGGGCTTTACTTTGCTTTTTATGTCAACAAGATACTTAATACTCTGAAGGGCCCAAAAAATAGTTAAGGTATACCTGCTGCCAGCGGGGTGCGAGGTTAGCCTTTATACTCAAGATAAAAATGTAGAAAAAAAGGAATCTTGCCTCGTTAGAGAAAATGTGCCTGGCTAAAATTTGTCTTATTTAGCTTAAGAAACGGAGTTGACGAATGTGATGGTGGTGAAGTAGCTGTTCGCCTAAGAACTGAGTAGGCTAACCGCACAAGGCTGCTCTTAAAACCGCTTCATCATGCGGTTTACACAAGTTGTTTTGGGGATTAGAACAGAGTAGTCAATTTAAACAAACCTGTGGATTCTGGTGAGAGAGAAGTTGGTAAGGTTGAAATCGGCGCATTTTTTCGACCCAATGAGGTGTATTTTGATTGATGGCCATTGCATCTCTCCCTTTTCTGAAAGAAAGTGGGACGGCTGCACAACCTCGTCCAACTGTCATTATTTACCACTCAGGTAAAGTCCTGCACCTATGACAAATGATCGGGTGATTTGCTTGCCCCTCTCCTGCCACTGGCCTCCCGGATAGTCATAGCAGCCTCAGCGTTAGCACAGTGAACGTCGAGACTGACACGGGAGAGAGGGAGAGGGGACGGGAGATCTTTCGAAAAATGAGGTCACCCCCTCTGACCTTTCGGTAAGCATGCTTGTGGCCTCTTTAGTTGTGTGTGCTGGATAGCCCAAACACAGCGGTCAAGAGCTGATATTCTAATTCTAGAGAAAGTTGACCTTCCACTAAAAGGAAAGACTGGGAAACTTCCTCTTTACCCACACTGCTTACCACTTCTAGGGAAAGTGTGTGCGATCCACTCTTCCTTCCCCCTTCTTTTTATCAGCCATTCAAGCACGTTTGCTCAACACTGGTGTAGGAGGTTCCTAGAGAGAAGCTTTTCAACTACTTCCTGTCCTCCCTATCTCTACAAAATTTTTAAGGAAAAAGGAAAATTTCCTGAAAAAAACTTTTACTCATAAGCATTTAATTGGTTGGGTAAAATGTTGAAATTCAATCAACTAAAGTGTGATGAATTCTGCCAAATACTCTATTTTTGAAATTTTCCACTTCTCCAGGGAATAGTTTTTGCAAAATGGAAACAAAATTAAGTTAAGCAGTCAGCCATTTTTCAATGGTAGTAAAGGTAGGGTGTATTAGTGCCTACTTCTCGTCTTCTGCAATGATTTGGTTAGATACTCATATCCATTTCAGGATTGAAGAGCTTTGTGCTCTCTACATGCAAATGACTTCTCAATTTAGACATTTTTTCATCCCAAAGTGGTGATTTTTTTCTCTCGCTAAATTACATGGACACTCTGCCATTAATTAGTAGTATATGCACATGCGTTCGTGTCAAACAAGGATCGGAAATGGAGAGAGACTCCGCTATGGTGACAACACATCCAGTAGTAAGCGGAAGCTCTCCATTCTACTCTTTGTCAATCATCCAGTGGGCATGTTGTGCGTTGACTTGTCCGGCCACCGTTAATCTAGGCGAGCGACATCAGGAGTGGATCGCACATGGATGGGCATGTGGCGGTGGAGGTGTCAAGCTCGACATACTCACTATTCATTCTGTCAGAAGATGCTGTCCCTCGTCCATAAGAGGTCAGGGAAGACTCAGTGGGCATGCCCTGTTTATAAAATCTATCGTCCAGATATTCTTGGCCAGCTAATTACCCAAATTCGTCAACACTATAGCAGGTAGATGCATCTGTGGAGAGGAGTTATCAAGGCTACACGTCTACCCTTAACGTTCATCCTAATATTGAGTTCTGTAACTAATTTGAACAACCAGAAACTTTACAACAAGAAACTACCTACAGTAATTAGGTGTTGGTATGTGAGATGCACCAAAACCTGAAGCATCCTCCACATAACCAGGCCGTAAATTGGCCCCAAGTCGACATCTTGGCAGCTATAAACTAATAACAGAGTGTTACTCTAAATTTAATGGCTACGCCATGCCAAAGAGATGAAGTTATTAGAAAAAGGGGCTATAAAAAAACCGCAGTTATTACTTTTTCGTCACATGACCAAAACGGCTCTCGTGCCAATTAACTAGACGTTTGGTTTGGGTGCTGGGAAACAGGCCTTGCAATTGCCACCTTTCGTGGGATTGGGTGATTGTCTGCTGTCTAAAAGGCGATAATTACGTAAGGAATTATGCCTCTAAATAGTAGATTTTGGGAGAGGAGGTGGAGGGGTGCAAAGGCAGGGGTGAGACAGTAACTCATTGCTCAAAGCCATGCAGAGTTGAAGCATAAACTCCAACATGTGGAGTGAGGAATGAAACAGATCGAATAGAGTAGCCGTTTGGGATAGTCTTTAAAGTTTATTAATCGTATTTCTGCGTCACAAATGTGTGACATGCAGTCTCCATCACGTTGAAGTACAAGGATGAAAAGCATCATGCTTTAAAGGGACGGCCGCATTTTAAGACTACATGAGTTACCTTTTTGGGACGGCATGACTTCACGTTGAATAAACTTGTGTCATCCTTGATCAAGTATGCCATTTCATTTGTTGCAGCGAGCAATTTTCACCCTTGGTTCTGACCTCGAAGGTGCTAGTTATTGCCAGTGGTTTTGACACCCTCTTGGGAGTCCCTTTCTAAACCTAAATGCAATGGAAGTAGAGATACTAAAACACTTTCTAATGAGGTGACGGATGTCGTGGCAATGTAGAACACCAAAGCCCTTAAATGATTTGCATTATGCCAAGTTATGCGGCTCAGAGGGTGACTAATATTCCTTTTAGTCTTTTATAGTCAAATAATCTGTGGATGTAACAAAGCTTGGTGAAGCTACAGATATTATGAACTAATGAACCATACCTGTCACATATATGTGACGCCGAGGTCGAGGTCTTACATGCATGTTCGTGTGTCCATCGCATTCGCCTCACTGATTTTTTCACTGCCTGATAAACATTTAGAAGGAAGTAAGGCATTAGCAGTTGGTATGTGACATCAGTAAGGTGGACACAGCCTCTCAACCTCCGCCTACTTCTTGCCACTACTGCTTCGTGTCGTCAATTAACAAGCCGCGGGCGAGTTGACTTAATGACAAGGTTTAATGTAGATCGTGTGGTAGTGACAACAGTTGTGTGGTGCGTTATGTGGTAGTCCGAGGGGAAATAAATGTTCATGGTGTGGAAAATCAGCCCAATCTACCAACTCCTGCTTCAGAAAAGATGATATGCTCCTATAAGATATTCTTTTTATGGCAGAGTTACAATATAAATCACCCTGCCTTTACATAGGGACGAATAAGGAATTTTCACCATGTTATAGAGAATAAAAATACATTAAAAATGCCCCCAAAAAGCTCAAAATTCTCACTTTATAGTTTATTATTCCTTTTATAAAGAAAGAAGTCCAAAAATGGCCATGAATGAAGAAAGAATACAAAGGAAATTTCTCTCAAGCAAACTGACATTGCAAAGTCGTAAATGGTAATTGACCAGTTAACTGCTTTTAACTCTTGTGGGCTAGGTTGGCCCCTTGGTCGTGCAGGAGTGGAGAGAAACGTGTTTGTCAGGCAAGAAAGGCAATCCACTGAACCTTACCTTCTGCCATGCTAAATGACGGAATGTAATAAACATCGTCACGCAAGATTAATGAACAGATAAAAGAAAATTCGCCCTTGATTCAACGGATGCAAATACATCCGTTACACGAGGCAAAGTGAAGTTGCAGCTTTTGAGTTTGGCCTGCTTCGCTGACTTAGTCTAATCAACAGCAACACTTGGGAACGTAGTGCAAAGCCTGGGTGTGGAATTACAAACTCCCGTCCTCTCTCCTACCACCACTTCTACCCAGATCCCTCCTGGCGAAAATCAGATGTGATGTAAGGAGAGCGGTTAACTTGGTCACAAGGATGGAGGCAGTGCAGTAGTAGAAGGCATTATTCACAAAAAAAAACAAGACCCAAACACCTTGATTGTCATTGAAGGCAATCTTCAGCAAAATTTGACGTAGGTGATTGAGACCAAAAACCTGCTCATAAGTCAAGGAATTACAGATGAGGTCTAGCCGCCCAAAATACCTACATGTAACTCTGGATGTCATGCTGTCAGTTCTTAGAAAAACAGACAAAACTAGTACCCAGTAGGGAGAAAGTCCTTCCCTCACAGAAAAAACAGCAAAATCATTACTCCTTTACGACGGAGGAAGGTCAGCAAAACTGATTCAACCTCACCCACAAAAGGTATCATGTGGAAGTATCTCTTTTCACTTTGCTTTTAGTCAAATGTCGGTCGAGCCCGGTGGATGGGATTCCACCTTTTCTGCTTGATGAAAAATTTTGATGCTCTTTCATAGATGGAAAGCTCCTCGTCTTCCTACCAAATCAAGCCTGCAATAAGTGGGACAAGCCATTAAAACAAAAAAATGGGAAGAGATTAAAAATTATTCATATGCTTTAACTTTATTTTTACCTCAAAATATTTTGCTGTCTCAAAATCCCTCTTATCAAGGAAGTCGTGTACTCTTAAGCTTTTATCACTCCAAGTCTAATTGCATCACTTCATTTTGCCGTATGAAGGGGAGATTCAGCCAAATGTTTCTTTAACTTATCCTGCATAACTAGTCAGACCTCTTTAAGGGAGTCCGCTTTCGATGGGTAGATAAGCATTCCCTGTTTCAGGAGGTCTAGTTTTTTGGCAATTAATTTTTCGTCCATTTTGAGCATTAATTATTCCATAGGATAAATGTTTTGGTAGATTGAGCAAGGGCAAAGTTAATTCGACCTAATTACACTTAAGAAGCGAGACTTTGCCCCAGGAAATAAGGAGTTTAATTGAATACTCTCAGGAAAGTTGCATGTCTAACTTACCATCTCCCCTAGGACGCGCTAAAGCGGTTGAAATAAAGTCACTTTTGATTTTCACTTTTCTTGCCCCTCCTGACATTCTTAACTATCCCAACTTTTAAAATCATAGGAAACAGGGCAGCATGGCAACGACACCTCCCATGTGTCTTATCAGTCCAAATCCCTCAACATAATTTGGTGTGTGGTCCGTACCTCATTAGAAGATTTGTCCATAAAATGTCCACTTTTCATTGCATGCTTGGGAGCAACGCTTCACTGCCATGCGTGATGGGCGAAGCCATCAGTTTTATATCCTAGACACCGACCTACGCCTATGACCTTGACTAATCCTCGAATATCTCTTCTCCTATGGGCTTCATCCATCGTACTTAGGAAGCTAAGAAAGTGCATCTTTCTCACCGATAAAGAAAAAGTTAAGCTTGATTCCAAGGTTATCATAAAGAAAATATCTCTAGGAACATGTTTGGCAGTTTTGTGGTTTAAATGATTTGCTTTGTGAACGAGTTGCCAATGTACAAAATGGAGAGAAGTGACCTAATTTATGGGGCATTTTTACTCAATTTTCCTGCTTCACTCCCTCTCACATTTTAGTTGATTAATATAAATGAATATCTA